ATGCAGGCGCTGCCACTGAGGCCTTCGGTGGAGCTACCTGTGCCGAGACGGGTGCGGTGGTGCCATGCGGGCGCTGCCACTGGGGCCTTTGGTGGAGCTCCCTATGCGGCTACGATGCGTGTGCGGGTCGTGCCGAAACGAGGGCGGTGGTGCCATGAGGGCACTGCCACTGGCGAATTGGGTGGAGCTCGCTGTGGAGCCACAAAGCGCATGAAGTGTGTGTGTGTGTGTGTGTGTGTGCCGAAACGGATGCGGTGGTGCCAATTCGGAATGAACGCAACCACTGGGGCCTCAAGTGGAACTCCCTATGCGACCACGAAGCGTGTGAGGGGTATGCAGTTGTTTTACATGCGGGGGGCAAAAGCAAGGATGGGAAGAAAGGGGAGGAATGAGGAGTGACACGGTGCGCTGTCTCTGCAAACCGCCAACCACACACGACAGGATGGTCGGGAACAAAGCTTGGGAGGAGCAGAGAAAGACCTGGCGTGAACAACCCAAACTGTGCTGGCGAAAACTCCAACCATATTCAGCTGTGCGCACCGCAATTGTGAATTCCGTCTTCGGTGGAACTCCCTGTGGGGCCGCGAAGCGTGTGAGGTGTGCAGAACTGGGCGCGGCGGTGCGATGCGAGCGGTGCCGCTGGGGCCTTAGGTGGAGCTTCCCATGGGGCCACGATGAGCGTGAAGGATGCGCCAAAATTGGCGCAACCGTGCCAGGCGGACGCTGTCACTGGGGCCTTCGGTGGGGCTCCTCATTGGGCCACGTCGCGTGTCAGGAGTCAATCAGTCAGTCAGTTAGCCGTGCGTCCAATAGGACGCGTTGGCACAAGCCTGAGACACGCCAGACACGCGCCTGAACAGCCGTGCGACACGCCAAACACGTGCAAAGGACGATTGTGGTCAGACCCGAGACACGCCAAACACGTGTGGAAGCAGGAGTGTGCCAAAATTAACGCAACAGTGCCATGCGGGCACTGCCACTGGGGTCCTCGATGGACCCCCCTGTCGGGCCACGACGCTGTGGTGGAGCTCCGTATGGGGCCGCGGGGCGTGTGAGGGGCATGCCGCAACGGGTGCAGTGGCGCCACGCGGGCGCTGCCATGCGGACGCTGCCACTGGGACCTTCGGTGGAACTCCCTGCCCCCACGAAGCGTATGAAGGAAGTGGCCCCAGGACACACAACTAAATACACACAAGTAAACATATTCCCTATATCTTCCCATATTTTCGGGGTTTTTGTCTTCCCCCCCACTTCCCATATTTTCCTATATTTTCCTGGGAATCGACGATTAATTGTGTCTGTGTGTTTTTTCCCCTCTTGAATGAAGGCTGTGGCGACACGGGCGCGGTGGTTCCATTCGGACGCTGCCACTGGGGCATTCGGTGGAGATCCCCGTGGAGCCACGAAACGTGCACATGGTGTGCCGAAACGGGTGCAGTGGCGCCATGCGGGCGCTGCCGCTGGGGCCTTCGGTGGAACTCCCTGTGGAACCACGAACCGTGTGAGGGGTGTGCCGAGACGGGTGCGGCGGTGATAAGCGGGCGCTGCCATTGGGGCTTTCGGTGGAGCTCCCTGTGCGGCCACGAGGGGGCGTGTGAAGGGTGTGCCGAAACGGGTCCGGTGGAGCCATGCGGGCGCTACCGCTGGGGCCTCCGGTGAAGCGTGTGAGTGGTGTGCCGAAGCGGATGCAGTGGTGCCATGCGGGCGCGGCCATTGGGACTTTCGGTGGAGCTCCCTATCGGGCTCCTCTTGCCTCCTACCTCATCGTCCCTCCTGCTCGATGCAAGATGCTGGACGTCGCCTGACCTATCGGCCCGATTCCAACCGCGGACCGTCTCACCCGACGGCAAATCCTAAAGACTCTTTTCCTTTTGGTTGGGGGCATGACTTGGTCTGGCCGCTGGAGAGACGAACAACATGTCCCCTTTCGCGTGTGCTCTTGCCTGAGTTGCCGTAGTGAGAGCGGCAAGAGGAATTCATCCTTGCTCGTCCCCTTGCGCTTCCCCCATCTCTCCTAAAAGATGTCCAAGAGGAGAAGGACGTCACTGACATCATCGCTGTTTGTCGCAAATGTTCAAAGGCAGAGTCCATCATCGGGAGGTGCCAAGAATATGAGATGTACATATGGGGATCTCCGCGCCGGGTGGTCTAATTATGCTGTTTAGGGTCTTCTGCCTCAAAGTGTACATTGTAGAATGGGCCGCCCCAGGGCCTTGGGACTCGGACGCCGGTTATATCATCCATTGTGCTGCATGCACTCAGTGGGTGTCCTGTCCTCAGGTACCTTCGTCGAGAACTGCAAATAAGCGTGCCACGGGTCCAGACCCAGTTCCAGGCGCTCCAGGGCGCTCTGGGGGCGGCTCGCGTGCCTTTTCAGAAAATCGGAAGCGCGGTTGGAACCCCACACTTCCATGGCATAAGATAGTCTCAGGGCCCGTCCTGGGGCTGGCCCACGAGACCAGGAGGAGACCCAAGAGGCCCAAACCAACAACAACTGAGGCTGTTTGATGACTTTAGCATGTTCAACTTCTTGGTCTTACTAAAGGCATCCAAGACTGCACAATATGAACCCGAACCGCCCTAGGACCTCCCCCACAGCCGCCAGAAGGGGCCCAAGAGGCCCCCAAGACAGCCCCTAAGATGGGGGAGCTCGAACTTACTTTTCGAGCCGTCTCCCCCCAAGATGGTCCCCAAGGGGAGCCAAGAAGGGCCCGAGAGGCAACCGATATGGCCTGCGGTGCCCCAAGCGGCCTCCTCCCCCTGGCATTTCAGACTCGCGGATTGATTCAATCAAGATCCGATGCGCAGTGGCGTGAAGCGCGTGTAATCTGGCCGATGACCCGCGACATTGGATTCTCACTCCGAAGGACTCATGGTTTCTTCTGCACGCGGCCAGAAGCTGAGGGATCAACCTGCGCGGGGTCTCCGCTGGAGTGCAGGAAGACGCGATAAGACACGCCAACATAAAAAAGAATCATGGCGGCTTGAATTAGATCCGCCGGCCCCCTTGTGGGGCCACCAGGCTGCGAGGCGCGTGATTCGCAGTTTCCTGTACCAGTTGTAGATTGTAGTTTCCAGTGTTACAGTTCTGCTTCTTGCTGGTTACTGTAACTAGTTGACTGATTGCTGGTTGCTGTAACTAGTTGATTGACCGCGCGAGGGGGGGGATGCCCAAACAATACTTTTAGCCTCACCTGGGCGCGTTGTCTGAATTGCTGGGGGGGCTCGAAATCGACACCCCTCACGCAGATCCGCGGGGTCAGGGTCCAAAAACACATGGGATTCGCCACATTTCTGAAATTCGGTGCCACCCCTCACGCAGATCCGCGGGGTCAGGGTCCAAAAACACAGGGATTTGCCACATTTCTGAAATTCGGTGCCACCCCTCACGCAGATCCGCGGGGTCAGGGTCCAAAAACACATGGGATTTGCCACATTTCTGAAATTCGGTGCCACCCCTCACGCAGATCCGCGGGGTCAGGGTCCAAAAACACATGGGATTTGCCACATTTCTGAAATTCGGTGCCACCCCTCACGCAGATCCGCGGGGTCAGGGTCCAAAAACACAAGGGATTTGCCACATTTCTGAAATTCGGTGCCACCCCTCACGCAGATCCGCGGGGTCAGGGTCCAAAAACACAGGGGATTTGCCACATTTCTGAAATTCGGTGCCACCCCTCACGCAGATCCGCGGGGTCAGGGTCCAAAAACACAGGGGATTTGCCACATTTCTGAAATTCGGTGCCACCCCTCACGCAGATCCGCGGGGTCAGGGTCCAAAAACACAGGGGATTTGCCACATTTCTGAAATTCGGCGCCACCCCTTACGCAGATCCGCGGGGTCAGGGTCCAAAAACACAGGGATTTGCCACATTTCTGAAATTCGGTGCCACCCTTCACGCACATCCATCGCAAGGCGTGGTAACCCAAACTGCGAGAACTCCCTCGGCCCTTTAATCGCAAGGTGTGGTAACCAAGCCCGTAAACCATACACGTCTTACCAATCGCCAGGTGTGGTAACCCCTCTTGTGATCAGTTGGTTTTGCTGATTGCGAATCGGCTTCGCATGAAGTTTCGATACTGCTTCACGACAGCGCCAAGACCTCATGACTTAGCTCTTCCATGGCCCATTCTCCGAGGGAGGGGGCCGGCGGCAGGGGGCGAAGCCCTTACGGATAAAAATCGCCAATCTGACGCTGCCCTCGTTGAACGCTGCGCGGGTCTCGCGCACCGCAAAGTGCTGGTTATCCCTGCCGGGCATTCTTCGAGAGCCCCCTCAAAAGAATACAAGCTGCGCCGGAACCGCTCTGACGCCCATTCCCCGTTCTCCTCCTCCTCCTCCTCCTCCTCCTCATCATCATCATCATCATCCTCCTCCTGTGGCGCTGCTCAGCCTTGCGTACGACTTCCCGCCCAAAATGGCGAGGAAATTTGGAAGCCCTGCCTGGCTGTGGCGGAGGTGGTCCCGCTGCGTGGCCCGCTGGGCGAGGGGTAGAACCGCCGGCTCAGTCGCAGTGAAGCGCTCCACCAGTATCCGAAACTGTCGCCCCTGCAACTGCGCTCGACGCGGTGCGGGATAAATTGCACGAGAAGGACGAGCGAACGCTCTGTCTGCGATTCTGTAGCTCGGCACCGAACGGTGTGGTCAGAATGGAGCCGTGGATAATTCTATGAGACTCCTCGAGCCTGGGGCGCAGGCATTCACCATGCCGAAAATTACACTCAGCTTGCGCTGCTCATCCCAGCTGGCGGCCACCTGCGCAGGGATTCCGCAAGCGTGAGCCCGGTGGCCGGAGGCACGGGCCCGCCGTGGTTATTGTGCTCCGCTGGCGACTGGTCGCCACGTGCATGGGTCGCGAGGTCGCTCTTGGGCTTCGCAACCTGCTGCTGCAGGGCGTCGATCTGCATGGGCAAACTCTCGAGCTCGCCACTCGGCGGGATCGAAGGCTTGCCCGCCAGGGCCGGCCCCGGCGCCTCGAGCGCCAGCGCCTCTGCGAGCTTCAGCTCCCGGAAGCCTGCCCGCACGGCGCTCGGCCAGCAGTCCGCCGTGCCCACGTACTGCGGCAACCGCCAAGCGCTCATCGGGGATGGACAGACCTCCCTTTGGCAAAACGTGGTTTCGTGACAACGACCCGAGGCCCAAACCTGGCGGGCGCCAGCTTGGAAAATCACGGCCGCGGCACCCCCCTCGAGAACCGAACACGGACCATCCACGAATCGACGTGTCACTATCTGGCCATCGCTCGGACGCCCACTTCCTGTGCTTTTTTTTCAGTTTCGTGCGTGGTTTTTTTTCCCGCCAAGTGATCAAGGATGCTCCTCGATGACCCTCGCCGAGGGCAGAATGCACACGCCCGAGCGATGCCAAGCTGTCGGGGGGCCTGCCCGCCCCCGAGCTCAGCTGCCCCAGGGCGCGCCTGCCGCACGGGGTGGCCAGGCCCGGGCCGCCCTGCGGCGCCGCGCCGCCGCCGACCAGGCCGTGCAGGCAGAGCCTCAGCAAGCCCAGGTCGGCGAGGATGCGCGTCGGCGTGGCCCAGGCGGGCTGGGCCTCGGCCCACGCCGTGGCGCGCTCGCGGCACTTCGCCGTCTCCGCGTGGATCACGAGGAAGGCGGGGCGGGCGCCCAGCGCGCACGCCCCGGCGGCCTCCAGGCACGGCTTGGCCTCCTTCCAGTCCGTCAGGAGGCCGTAGGGCGCCGGGCCGGCCCGCGACGCCCAGGCGGCGAACTTCGCCGCCTTCCGGAAGCAGACCAGGGCAGCTCCCAGGCCCTGGCGCGGGGCGGGGAGCTGCGCGCATGCCCACCGCCTGTGGCACCCACGCCACGGGGCCCGAACCGGCAGTGGATACGGACATGCGATCCAGGGTCGAGGGTTCACCCGCCCCCCTGGATGGGATGGGCCCCAGGGTCCCCCCCCCCCACAGATGGGATGGGAGGGGGGAAGGAACGACGACGCCGACAACGCTGGCGACGTGGACGACGACGACGACGACGACGAACCACCCCACACCCACCCACAGGGGGGGGGGAGCACCAGCATCCTCCACTACGCCACGCCCACATGGCCACGACCAGCTCGGGGAGCGATCCCATTCGAGAGGCCTTTGCGAGGCTTGCGGGCGTACCCATCCAGCGGGGGGGGGAATTCGATCCCATATGCATGGGGGGGGGGTGCAACCCTGGATCACATCTTTGGACCTCAGCAGGAGGTGCGACAGTATATCCACCGCTGGCCGATATATCACCGAAGATCGATGCCCCAGGCGGTGGTCATGCCATGGATGAAATCCCCGCTTCGGACCTTGGCCGTGTCTCCGATGTGGCCCCGCTTCCCCTCGCACTCCTGCTCGTGCGGTAAGGCTGCGGGCTGCGCGCAGGCATCCCCCCCTCAGGGCAGCCCCAGCTGGCCTCAACAATGAAGGGGCCCTAGCTGGGACACGCACATAAATACACACAACTGACCGGATTCCCCATGTATTTCCCCTAGATCTTCTGGGTTTCTATCTTCCCCCCCCCCCACACACTACCCATATCCTCCCATATTTTCGGGGGAATCGACGATTAATCGTGTCTGTGTGTGTTTTCCCCCTCCTGGAACAAATCCCGCGACTTGCCCCAGCTGGCCTCAACAGGCCCTCCGAGTTAGCGCAGGGCGGTCTCAACACCCCAGAGCCGCGTCTTGAGCAGGGACCGCCCGTCCCGGCATTCCTATAGTTCTACCACGAAATCTTATTAGAAACCAGACATGTCATAATAACAGGAACAATGTTCTTAGAACATAAGCCCGAAGTGCTCAAACAAGACAGACTCCGCCGGAAATGTTCTGAGAACATCTCGTGGAAACCACATTAAAAAAGGTTCTTAGAAGATTGTTTGGTAGGGCTATAGTCGGGGATGGACAGACCTCCCGTTAGTAAAACATGGTTTCGTGAAAATGACCTGAGGCCCAAACCTGGCGGGCGCAAGCCTGGAAAGTAACGGCCACGGCGCCCTCTCGAGAACCGAAGACGGACAATTCACCAATCGACGTGTCACTGTTGGGGGTTCTGTCCACCCCCGATATTTTGCTTGACCAAAAAAAGGGGTCCAGCTGAAAAAAGGTGGTGCAATAGGTTTGGGGCAACTGTTTTGCATATGTATTGCGCCAGAAAATTGTGCTGCATTGTGTTGCAACGAGTGTGTTGCACACGAAGCCTCAGCAATACATTTGCGCACTGGAGAATGTACTGCACGCCCCAAATCCACTGCAACCCCAAAAACCTATTGCACCAAATCTATTGCACCACCTCCTTATCGCTGGACCACCTCCTTATTGCGTCGTTCCCAACACTATCCTCGATGGTGTTGGGAACGACGCTCTGAGTTCGGAACCTTAGGAGGAGGAAGAGGAGAAGGAGGAGGAGGAAGGAGGAGGAGGTGGAGGAGGAGGAGGAAGGAGGAGGGGAGGAGGGAGGAGGAGGAGGAGGGAGGAGGAGGGAGGGGAGGAGGAGGGAGGAGGAGGGAGGACGAGGAAGGAGGAGGGAGGAGGAGGAAGGAGGAGGAGGAGGAGGAGGAGGAGGAGGAGAGGAGGAGGCAGGAGGAGGAGTGAGGAGGAGAAGGAGGAGGAGGAGGAGGGAGGAGGAGGAGGAGGAGGAGGAGGAGGAGGAGGAGGAGGGAGGAGGAGGAGGAGGAGGAGGAGGAGGAGGAGGAGGAGAGGAGGAGGAGGAGGAGGAGGAGGAGGAGGAGGAGGAGGAGGAGGGAGGAGGAGGAGGAGGAGGAGGAAGGAGGGAGGAGGGGAGGGAGGAGGAGGAGGGAGGAGGAGGGAGGAGGGAGGAGGAGGGAGGAGGAGAGGAGGAGGAGAGGAGGAGGAGGAGGAGGAGGAAGGAGGGAGAAAAGGAGGGAGGAGGAGGGAGGAGGAGGGAGGAGGGAGGAGGGAGGTGGAGGAGAGAGGAGGAAGGAGGAGGGAGGAGGAGGGAGGAGGGAGGAGGAGGGAGGAGGGAGGAGGAGGAAAGGAGGGAGGGAGGAGGAGGGAGGAGGAGGTAGGAGGAGGGAGGAGAGAGGAGGACGCCTCGCCACTGCTCGGGGCGTCCCGGCGGCGCCCCCCCCCCCCCGGGGGCGCGCGCCGCCGCGGCTCTCCCCGAGGTCGGGGCGCCGAGGCCGCCCCCTGCCGAGGCCCACGGGAGGAGGCCCCCGCCGCCGAGGCCCACGGGGAGGAGGCGCCCCTCGGGGGAGGCCCTGCCTGCCTGCCGCCGCTCGGACGCCCCTTCCCCGTGCATATGTTTGTCGGCTTCGTCGTTATTATTATTATTATGATTACTATTAGTGTGATTATTATTATTATTATTATTATTAGTATTATTATATATAATAGTATTACTGATACTATTATCATCATTCTCATTAATATTATTATTATTATCATAATAATTATAATTATTATAATTATTATATATAGCATATGTTCCTTTACCACATAAATCATATGTATGTGTATGTATGTATGTATGTATGTATGTATGTATGTATGTGTATATATATATATATACATGTCACTATTTTTACATACTTATAACACATTTTTTGTTTTTTTGCCCGATGGTCCAGGGATGGTCCTCGAGGGCTCTCGCTCGCCGAGAGAGAACGTGCAACCGTCCGGGCGGTGCCAAGGCTGAGGCCAGCCAGGACTACTCAAGGGGCCCACCGACACACAAATGAATACCCTCCAATGAAATATTCGTCATATTTTCATATATTTTATGGGTTTCTGTCTTCTCGCCCAGTTCCCTCATTTTCCCATCTCTTCTTGGGCATCGACGCTTCTAATCGTGTCTGTGTGTTTTTGTTTCCCCTCCGGAACTGCCCTGGGACGGGGGGGGGGGGCTGCCTGTGCGCAGCCCGAAGCCTTACCGTGCTTGTGGCAGCGCTCGTGGCACCAGATGATCGGGTCGGGCGAAAGGGGGGGATAGCAAAAGGGGGGTTTGAGAATCAGCTCACGTAGCTGATTTTCACGGCGCCTCCCGGCGCCGGAGGCGGCTACGTATCGAGGAATGGGCCCCTCGGTGAGGCCGAAACCAGCTGCATGCATCAGAATTCGGAATCCCCCCTTTCCCTCGGGGATCTTCTGACCCGGGTCAATCCAGACCCGGGTCAGCAGAAACCAAAAACTGCAATGCAGGAACAAAAACCTGCAACGCAGGTCTTCGCAGACCCGGGCCAGCCAATACGAGCGGCCGCCTCGCGGCCACGAGCGGCTCGCTAACCCGGGTCAGCCAGAGGGGGCCTTCGCAGGATCCTGCAAGATCTGGCGCTCTGGCTGACCCCCGTGTGCACTGACCCCCGTCTCTTATTTGGACGCCCGACATGGGTACCGAAAAATTGGGTACGATGCCCAACAACAAATGTTGTCCCAAACCAACAGCGGCCGCTGCTGGGCGGGCGGCCTCCTGTCTCGAATGGACACAGGCCGCGGCGGCGTGGACAGCGAGGCCTGTTCAGAATGAGCAGGCACTGCTGTTGGGCCTTGTACCCCTTCTTTCCGTACCCATCTCGGGCGTCCAAATCTTAGGCCCCGATTTCCACTCCCCCCCTCTCGCCCGGCCCGAGCTGAGGCTCCACGAGGCCGGGGCCCCGGCGCCGCCGCCGCGGGCGCTCCGCGGGCGCGCCGCGCCGGGGGCTCCGGAGAGCTCCATGGTGGCCGCCCCCCCCGCCCCCTTCAGAGGAGCTGCCCGGCGAGGGCGGTCGGGCGCGGGCCGCAGGCCTGGAGCCTCAGAGGAGCACAGGAATCACATTCTCTTAGTAAGTTTCTTTTCCCAATAACTTCGTCTACTAAAACGACTGAAGAAGAAATTGTTCATGAAAAAAAATATTAAATAGAGAATGTGATTACAAATTTCACGATGCAGCACGCCCGCGTCCCCAACTCGCTATCGCTCGGACGTCCATTCCGTGTTTTTTTGTCGGTTTCGTGCGTGTTTTTTCGCCAGGTGGTCGAGGATGCTCCTCGATGGTCCTCGCCGAAGGAGACATGCACACGTCCGAGCGATGCCAAGCCAAAGCTGGTCACTTCGATGTGCAACTGATGTGGGCGCCCGGGAGGGGGGGGGGAAAAAGGGGTACGATGCCCAGCAGCACATGCTGTCCCAAACCAAGAGCGGCCGCTGCTGGGCAGGCGGCCTTCTGTCTCGAATGGACACAGGCCGCGGCGGCGTGGACAGCGAGTCCTGTTCAAAATGAACAGGAACTGCTGTTGGGCATTGTACCCATTCTTTCCGTACCCATTTTGTTCGTGCCGAGCTGAGAGATCGTGAGCAGGAATAGAGGAGAAGACGACGGAGGAGAAGGGAAGCCATGAACCACAGCGTACATGCCGCCAGTCTGGCGGCAGAAGCGGCAATGTACAAGCCGCATTGTGCAAGGCCAACGTGTATATCTACAGAGAAAGAAGAAGAACGGCGGACCACCTGCCCCGCAGGGAAACCCGGCTGCAACTCCAGAGCTCAGGGGGATATGTTGCATCTCCGGGGGGCCTGGGGTGTCCCATTGCGCCCCTATCTGCATCGAACCCTTGTCGAATCCAGATCGAAACCATGTCGAATCCGCGTCGAATCCGCGCTGAACCCGCGTCGAACCCGCACCAAATCCGCACCGACCCCGCGCCGGGCACAATTAACATCACACATTTTGAGGCGGGGTCCCCCGAATATTCAACATAAGTGGTGCAGTCAGCATCGACAAGAAAGATGTGATGCCTTTCGAACTAAAAAGCGAAATATCTTGGCGAAGGGCCTAACCATCTGCAACTGTGAGTGAATGCCGCAGTTATGAATCTCGTCTTCGTCTTCGTCTCGTCCTCGGCGAACCCGTGGGAGTATGGAACTTGTGCGAACCCTGCCACTGGGGCCTTCGGACGAGCTCCCGATGGGGCCACGAAACGTGTACTCCAGATTTCGTAATAAAAGAGAGGGGTCTGGACCCTCCAAGACAAGCCATTTC